ATCCAAATTGGTTTTTTTCCTGCATGTTCAACCGGCAAAATTCCTGAAAAAGGTCTTCAATTCACATCAGGTACATCGTTGTAACTTCGATATCAAATAATTCAATAGTTTATAAAGTCACCTTTTCAAAGTTTATGTATTAAGACAGGCTATTACAAATATAGGTTGCAACAAAACATACGCCCACAGTAGAGAAGTTGTCCAGGCCGTCAACAAGGGTTGTCGCATATTTTTTCTTTTGTTGGTAATGAAACATTTACAATACACTAAAATCTGATTAAAAAATTATCAGAAATCAGTAGAATTTGTTTGGCTTTTAGTTCTGCCACATGCTAACATTTAGCATACAAAACATTTAATATCATGGAGTTAGCTGTTCAAGTTATCAAAATTCATTGGAAATCAATATACTTGTTTGTCGCAAGACCCTAAACTCTGTGTATAAATTTAGAGCTAATCGAATGATAATTTTGGTCTGTAGTGCATCCACAAGATTTTGTGAAGTAATCAAGGGCCATAACTCTGGAAATGGGATATAAATTTTAGCCTCTAGAGTGTACACAAGATTTTTCAAAGTGATCAAAGGCCATACCTATCATAAATCATTGAAAATCAAAAGGATTCTTCATTTCATGAGCTTAAATACTATGTATAAATTTAAAGTCAATCGGATAATATTGACTTTAGAGTGTCCACAAGCAATCGTGGATGGCAGACAGACCGACAGACGGGCAGGGACGACAACAATATACAACCACATTAAGCCTGGTGCCAATATTGCCCCAATTTCATAACTGCATTTCACAAGTGATTTTTAATAGGTCATCAACATATATAGCTATTAAGTCATGTGTGTCTTTACTAAATTGTTCGGAATGCTGGAGAATCGAGAATAATAATAGTGTCACTCTTACAATCATGTTCATCAGATAGTCAAAATATTTTGATGTATTTGGTTTAATCACAGTGGATATGTGAACACAAAATAGCAATTTCAATTTATCATGATATATTTCAAATCATTAATCATAATAAATCATGAGATCTATTTTTTGTATCAGTGCAACCACAATATCAAATAACATCTAGTCTTTTCAGAATATTGGGCTATTGTATATATTTCATACTCCTACCTCCAGCACAACTCTGAGAACATGGTGTGGACTTAGTTTTCCATGTGTAATGATATCTAGGTGTGGGAAGTGTGCTAGGGTGTGAAGGTTTCTTCAATGAGTATTCATACACCACACCACGATTCACTCCATTTGATAATATCTACAAAATATGTAAATATACCATAAGTAGGTAAATATATACTATCATAAAAAAAACACATGTTAAGAATAACCTCTCATTCATTTAAGAAAAATACATTTGAGAGTTGATCCGAATTTGCCGGTGAAATTACTTCGCCTACCCAGAAAAGACAAAAATGTGAATCCAAAGATTATTGTTTGTGTTCCTCATCCAAACAACTTCTGAAATGTACAACACCATCTTATCGGTGTGAAAATGTCATTTATTAAATTATTATAGATTATAGATAAAATAATAGATAAAGACATACATGATAGATAAAGACATACATGTATACATGAATTTTTAATGACAAAAAAATAACTAAAATATCAATTAATTGTTGGGCTCAAAATTAATGATTCTGAAAATGGACAATATATTGAATACAATACCTCAAGTACTATGTCTTCTAGTATTGGGCCTTCAGTAAAGAGTACTTCAACCAGATCAGTATTTTCGTAATTAAATCTACTGCCACCAATAGTATAGGTTCCACTACTTTCAATTTTACGATTGCCATTGAGGTAGTATTTACCATATTTATTTCTGACAGCTAAATAATTAAATGAGGGTTTACGTTGTGATATTTTAACACTTGTAGCACCAACAGGCAATGTAACAATGGGATGATAAGCTGTAAAATTAAAAGTATTATCAAATTAATTAAATACAGTATTTCCATGTGTGACTTTAATAATCATCATTTAATTTACTGTTCATTTTCATGTGGACAGGCTGTGGACACTCTACTGGTCACAATTCTTATCCGATTTTGAAATATAGGTTTATCTCCCAAACATCTCAGTTCCTTTTGATATTGGTGCATGTATCAGGCCGTAACTTCATGGATTATCCTGATTGTTCGATTTAATCATGTTTTTAGTTTTTGGACACTCTAGAGGTCACAATTTTAATCCAGTTTTGATGAAATTCAAATGTATGTTTATAACCCAAAGATCTTGGTTCCTTTCAATATTTGTGCATGTCGGACCGTAACTTCCAGTATGACGGCCCCTGATAGTAAAAAAAAATCACATTTTTAGCTTGTGGACTCTCTAGGTCTCAATTTTGTGTTATAAATATACATTTTAAGTTTCATAAAAATCAGATAAAAATTGTGACTTCTAGAGGGTCCACAACCTTGGTATTACATACATTTACACTATTTGCGTACAGGGAGCATTTTGTCCGGAAGTTTTGATCCGATTGTCATGAAATTCGACTTAAACCATCATTTTAGTGTAAATGTAGAGATCACAATTTTTATCCAATTTTGATGAAACTTAAAAATATGTTTATATCCCAAAGATCTGGGTTCCTTTCAATACTTGCGCGTAACGGACCATAACTTCCTGGATTATGGCCACTGATTGTCAAAAAAATGCCTTTATTTATATCATTTATTTTCTACCAAAACCTGAAGTCCCATGCACTAGCATACCAGAGAAAGCCCCAGTTACTACATGATAAAGTGAGAAAATGGGAAAGAAATAGGGTTTAACTCTAGTTACATAAACTAGGTCATTTCATGACTAAAATAATATGTACGTTAAAACGTCGCTCAGTAATAAGCAGTAATTGTATTCCACAGAATTGTGACCTTTATATTCCAGTTCAATTACTAAATGGCATTGAAACAATTCAACATAATATGGTGCCATTTTATTTCAATAATTCACTTGCGCGTGTTATGTTTGTAGGCTCACAACACATGTGATGGCTGAACAGGAAGTCTTTAATGATGCAAACAGAGTGATCTCCTTTCATAATAATACCTAGTAGATTACAGTGCATTACAGGCATGCTTGAATTGTATTACTATGTATACTTGGACATATCACTACACATATAGAACAGTGAATAGAGGTGGAAACCAGAGGACCTGGAGAGAACCCACAAGATTAGTTAGGTGATCCTACTCCTTGTCACATACAAGATCAAAAACGTGCCACTTGACTCTGTGACATACCTTATGATCTAAAGCATTAGACCACTCGATCACCAACCATTCATACAAGAAGCTAAGATTACATGATATAACAGATTAGAATCAGCTCTAATAACTTACAGCTGAGACATATAATAGTAGGTCTACTTACTATTATGTCTAACTTGATTTATAAATACACCTGATAAATGATTACATGTAGAATTATCACCATTACATATACCACACGCATCATTTCTAGCAGTAGAATCAATTATTAAATCACACCCATATAACTGAAAATATATAATATTTCTATACACACATTTATAACTGGTTCTAAATGATCAGTTAATTATTCTAAGTCCAAAACTGTCAGTCATCACAGCAGATCCAATGGCAGTTGAATTTATAATAATAGAATGTTAAAAATGTAGTGCCTTGGCAATAACCATGTATTAGGCTAAAATAATCAAGGTAAAGAACATTAAACATTAAAACCTACAATTGTGGGAAATTTTATAGACAATATCTCAACTAATATTTGACCAAATCAATTAAAATATAAAGAAACAATTTGCAGAAGTCGAAGGCTACATACCGGTAGTTAAAGATAACCTTGGGGCCAAAGGAAACAAGGAAAGTCACCAGCCAAGTGGTTTGAATACAAAAGTTTGACAAAAATTTGTTAGCTGTGTGAACTCATAGAAACAATAAGTGGTATCAGGTGGTAATATTATCCAATGTAAGACAAAACTTCATATATCAACACTCGTCGATAAAGTAAAAAAAACCTGGTCAAAGCCTTGTTTTTTTACTTTATGGACTTGTGTTGATATTTTTTTTATATCAAAAAAGACTTGTAGGATATTCTCTATATACTCACCCTACAAGATCCTTGTACACATATATTATTACTGATATCATTACAAAGTGTACCATCTTTCACTTTATTTGATAAAGCAAAGAAAAAATTATAGTCTTTAGCTTGACAATACAGTTTACATTGATCTTCATCTGAAATAAACAATTAAATTAAACATGACAAAGAAATACAGTAGTGCCCTATTAAACATGACAAAGAAATACAGTAGTGCCCTATATTTTTATATATCAACCAGTAGCCCACATCATACCATAAAACAAATGGCAATGCACATTTCCTTTCAATAATCATTGCACTTGATCTTAATAAACTTTTGATGTTAGTGTGAGTACAACCAGGATATCCAAACATTAGCGTACATTTCCTATCAGTAATAATTACAATTGACCTTATAATAAAAACTTGATCTTAAAGTGTGAGTACAGGAAATTGGGATATATTATACTAAACACTACAAAAAAAAATCACCATTTGTAATGTGGGGTTTGAGAGAAATATCAGTTTTATATACACAATACAATAATATAAATGTGTTGTTATTAGAAGTGCTACACCATTAAATTTAGACCTTTTTACCTTTGTTAACATTCAAAACTTGATGATCTTTGGTGTTAATATCTTTTATCTTAGAATTCAATCATACATGATATTCAAATGGATTTCAAATATCATGAGAAAGACAATAACCAAACTTGAAATACCTGGATTTGCTTCTATTTGTTCTACTTGTAAGAACAATTCATAACAAATGAAATGGGGTTTAACGTCCTACTGTTCTGCTCAATCTGGGATAATGAAGACAGGCAATTCATAATAATTTCTCGCCATATTAATTTCTATTCAGTGTGCTGTTGGGATCATTACATTTTAACACACAGAAAAAAATTCTTAAGAAAACTGAACATATTTACCTCTCTGTATTTTTTTGTATGCTGTCCAATTATAAAACCATCCTCGAAATAATTTTTTATCAAATTCCTGACATTGCTCACTTCTAAAATCTGTGCTTCCTGTGCACGCCTTGAAAGAGATAACAAAAATATCATCCAATTGTCAAATATCAAGCAAAAATATCATTTGGTTGTCAAATAGCACGCAAAAATATTATCTGATTGTCAAATAGTATGTGAAAATATCAGTGGATTGTCAAATATCATAATTTGGTATTTATGCACCAATTTCTATGTGGCACTTTACATTGGACTCTCATACCCCCCCCCCCCCCCAAAAAAACAAACCCAAAAAAACCGGAACTTTATAATTTGACTTTCTTTAAATTGGACCCGTATAAATTAAGATCTTAATTACCTGAGTATTACATAATGAAAACATGACTAGTTCTCCTATACACGGTTTACCATTATATTTAGGTCTGTGAATAAATATAACAAATTATAAATGAGATGCAGTTTATAAATAGATAGGTTGCCAGGCAATGAAACATACACCCACAGCAGCTAAGTCATCCTAGCACTTGTGTCTCGTGTTCTAATGATTCAAGCATTGTTAAATGGACAATAAACCCCCTCTAAATACAAAACAGGAAGTGTTTATCTCCTAAACAATCTTTGGACATTTTGCTATCTTAATCATTCAAATAAAATAAGCTGTTTAGAACTACATGTAGCTCAGTAACATCCATGATTAGCAATTAGCATATGGATATTTGATGTTGATACTTACTTGGGATTATTACACTTTCTGTTTCGTTTCTGTATTCCTCCTCCACAAGTTCTCGAACATCTTGTCCATGGTGTCCATGGCGACCATCCTCCATTGATTTCTTTAGGTTTTTGTAAAGGTTTCTTTTCACATTTACTATGACGGCACCACTATAAAAATACAACTGTAGTTATTAATCATAAGCAAAATGTTAGTTAATAGTTTTTACACTATTATATTTGTACATCTTAACAAACAGTTGTCATTTAACAGAGTATTCTTTTAAACAACTGTTGCCCATTTACCTTGTCCACAAGTTTCAGCTTAAACATACATTATGCAAGAGCTAAATCTGCCTATTGCAGGTCTTTCTTTAGGCCTGAAATGTTTTCTAAATTATTAATTAAGACATAATCAACTCTCGATGGTATGGATTTCTCCGATATTAAATAGAGTAGAACACTTCCGCCATATTTTGATTTAAGCTAAAAATGAAGGAGCAAGACTTAGCTTCAAACAACCAGTACAGTGGTTGAAATTATTGCACATGTCTTGTCAAAACCTCAAAGGCTAATATCTTTGCTCGCAATAGAGTAATTTGAATCAAATTTTCAAATTATTCATTTTAAATTATCTATTTTTGAACTATTATAGCAAATATGGCTAGCTCTTTATCTGAATCTTACATAATGTATCTTTAATATACTTACTCAGTCATTTAGAAAACGTCATAAGAATTGTTCAATAGGATCGAGTAAGAATTTTGTATATTGTTTACAGGTTTTGAGTGACCTGATACATAAGACTACACTTGGCAAGCTCATAGACATTGTTATCCAGACACCATTAGAGTTGTCAGTTTGGAGTGACCTGATACATAAGAATTGTTCAATAGGATCGAGTAAGAATTTTGTATATTGTTTACAGGTTTTGAGTGACCTGATACATAAGACTACACTTGGCAAGCTCATAGACATTGTTATCCAGATACCATTAGAGTTATCAGTTTGGAGAGAGAGAGAGAGAAATTGGGTTTAACCTCCACTCGACACAAACTAGGACTAACACATGGTTTACTTTTATTACTCCTTGTCACGTACAACAGGGGATTCGAAACCACGTCAGTTGACTCAATGACAGGCCTTATGATACAGCGTGCACGTGCTAACCATTCGGCCATCCAACCCCCCTGTCAGTTTGGAACCTCATCAGCAATCACACTGACTGTTTGTCCTTTCTTTAAGATCTTATTATGAGTGTAAAAGTGGAATGGAATTGATTGCGTACCTACCATCCCTACCCCACACTTTGTGCCTTCTGCTGCTGGTAAAAACTTTGTCTCACACATCTTATTACCTTTATAACACCATAAACTCTTACACACTTGTAACTAAATAGTCAAAATACATTTGTAAATAATTAAAACATTGAAACCCAATATTTGATATAAAAACAAAAATCTTGCTCATCAACTTCATGGACTTTAGAGGTTAGCATGTTAGCGTTATTTTCAAATCATAATTGACCAATCAAAACGGGTTGTATGAATCGCTAATGTCCTCATTATCAAGTCTATAAACAGCGTGCAAGGACATATAAAATTAGCAGTGTGGGTCACAAAAGTGATTCAAGATGTGAAAATTAATGTTTTAAATCTGTATAAAAAGAAATGTGACTTACTTTTCCAAATTCATAGGAACAGACTTTAGCTGTAGGACCAAACAGCCATTTACACTGTGTTGTAGCATCATATAATTCACCTGGTAGTTTATCAGGAAATTTAAATTCTTGTATATAAGTAGGTCTATCAGATAAACAGTTCGACTGGATAGTACTAAACAAAAACAAACAATATTTGTATTTATAATTCATTTATTTATTGAACATATATTGGCAAATAGGTGTAAAATGAGTTAAATGTAAATCAGTTATACATTCATATTACATTAATATAATATGCGCTTTTCGAACCATTTTCTTCCATTTTTAGGTTCCAAATAATTGAGGTATCCCTCCTTTAATTAAAGGCTGAACATAAAGCAGTTAAACTAAGAACTGTAGCAATGTTGCTAGAATTTTTGCTCTTATAATTAATGGTGGTATTATATTTCATTAATTAATGTCTTTGGGCAATTGTACTAAATATGCACTAAAAATATAAGTGACGGGCTGACACATAAAAAAAAGTTATAGAGCCAAAACATAGCTGTGCCAACAAAACACATGTGATTGGAAATTTACCTATTGCATCATTTGGTTTAAGGGACCAATCATATCAGTAATTGCACAGGTTCAGGGTCATGAATACACTATTTTTGTGCGTGTTGTTCATAGGTCCTATAAAAGAAATCATGGCAAACTTTTAAGCCAGATTTCATTGGATTCCGGAGAGATTACCATCTGAGTTCCTAGACAGCAGCTTAATTCCAGAAGGGAAAAGATGTAGCAATTTCTATCAGCAGACTCGCCTAGCTGGATGAGGTTTGAGAGAATGACTTTATTATACTATGCTTGTATCTATGTATCCAGCTACGATATATAAAATGTAAAAACGAACTGTTGCACTGTTATTCCTGGTAAGACAAACGTCTTAAGAAAACAGTAAGAAGCAAATACACAACATGAAGGGGAAGCAAAGACAACTAGTGAAAATACTAGACGATCACAAGGCTACTAAGATATGTAGTAAGAAAAGATGCATGGGTCGTACATAGGATGTGGCGACCGAATTTACATAGGCGGCTCTCCACGGCTGACGAAAGACCCATGGTGCTACAGAACCACTTGATAACTAAGTATGCACCTTAAAATATTGTTTTAGTAGATGAAAAGGCAATAATTCTACTTTATATCATTATACTTTGAGATCAGATCAGGCTATTTTCTTACATCATTTTGGTTGATGGAATATTACAATTGACAAAAAACTTACTTTAAAAATTTGAGAAAATAATTTCTACTACAAGAGGACCATTGGAACAGTCCATTTCGACCTGTAAGTGTTGGTGACATGATGTTTCCTGCACCTCTTTTACAATTATTACCTTCTCCATCATGGAACATCCCAAAACTAGATAGATAACAATAACAACAAATGTTCATCAGTATTATTAAATATTCAAATAATTTAGTGTGCAAAATGGCTTGAGTTTAGTGCATAATAATAGAAATATATTATTTAAACTATTTGTCATATTTATATCTGTATATGAATTCTGAAATTCCATTCAGGTAAAAAAAAAGTACCATAGTATTATTTAAAAGTCTCCAATCAATGTGCAATTGTTTAAGGAACAAACATGCCAAGTTTCATGTTGACCGTACTTCAAAGAGCGCCACTGCCAAGAAGAAGGAGGAGATGCGTAGCCCTTTGATACCATTTCTGGTCAATAACAATTATGATTTGTCATTTCCCTGTTACTTACTTATGTCCTATTTCATGTGTAACAGTAAATGCAGTTGCTAATCCAGTATCTTCATTCATAATACAGCTTCTCAGGGGATTACACATACCATTTATAGGTGCAAAACCTGAAAATATAAAGTCAATTAAAGTAAAATGAAAATAATAATAATAATATGTCCATTTATAAAACGCTATATCCACAAAACGTGCTCATAGCGCATAATACACAAGTCTCCAATAATATAATTTAAACAGATAAATTTTCAAGTCAGATTTGAATTTATTTAGCGTAAGACTTCTGTGAAGGTCTAATGGTAGTTCCACTTTGTAGATGAGGCGACTTTTTTCAGTACAGGAGTGATATGAGAGCATATTTGACCTAGTCACAATCGAGCCGCTGTATTTTTGGATGCATTGAAGATGCATTGAAGACGTTCCAATTGATACATTGGTATGCCAACAATAGTCAAGTCTAGAAAAAATGAGAGATCTAAAGCTGCGGCTGCATCTTCAGTGATGAGATTTCAAATGGAACCAATACTTTTGAAATTAACACTTTTTGCACAGATCATTAATATAGTTGTCCATGTTTAACTGAGAGTCAATAAACACACCAAGGTTTTTAGCAACTGGGGAAAAGGGATGATGACATTGTTGATTGAAAGTGATTGGTCAGTTATTTTCTTGAGTTGTTTATGTTCATCCATAATTTTATGCAGATGTATGTTGTCATCACTTGCATGAAGTGATCAATTTCTTGTAAACACTCTAAAAAACAAAATATATTTTTACAAGATGATCTATTTGGTATAATATATAATTCTATAAATTCTATTACCTAAAGTATCACAAGGTGCATTTTTATTAGAACAGATATCTAGACCAGTTAGTAATATAGCATGATCATGTCTTCTTCCTGTAGCATCACTTAATGTAGACTGCCACTGACAAAAACTATTCAATGTATAATCTGCATGATGGCTGATATGTAATCCTGGCTAAAGTATTAAAAATAATAATGCATTAAAGGTTTGCTGAAAACTAACATATATGCCAAACTGTTTTTCTCAATCGAAAATACAACCAAAAACATTGACTTTATAAGAGAGAACTTTTTTTTTCATTGGGATATTTAATTGTGCAATGGAATTTATTCAATGGGAAGTGATTTCAAACACATAGGCAAGTTTTTAATAACAATTATTCAGTAGTTTGTTCACAATCAAAGAAATCTGTTTAAAATTTATGATGGTTCAGACTATAGTTCATGGCTAATGATGACAGTGTCTAGTAGTACTATTAAAGTTTGTGTTCATTTTTGCTAAATGCAAGAGGGGATTGGATTGTCGATTGGTCAAACATGTGCTTTAGATCATAAGGCCTGTGATTGAGTTAGTTGTGTCGTTTCAATCTCAAGCTTATATGCAACAAGGATTAGGCTCCCCTGGATTTTCTACTACTCTTCCCAGTTTCCTCCCATTACCATGATATTATGTTAGCCCTGAAATAACCTAATCCATGTCATGTTGATGTTAAACCCCAAATCTCTTTATCTGCTGAATGCAGATCTGATATTTGATAGTGTCGGGTTTATTATTTATGAAAAATAGAAACACTACTCACCTCATCAGTTTCTAGTACTACTAATCCAACTAATAAAATCTCCACAGGTTTACCTAAACTATTATCTTCAAATAACTTAGATACCTATAAATATACACATAAAATTAATACTTAAACGACCAATTTCAAAACTATAAATACATAAACACTTATTCTACAAATACATGTAGACTACTTTTAATAGCAATAACTGTTTCGATGATTTATGAATCACTACAAAATCTATAGTAGGCCTCGGTCTAAAGATTGATTGGGTTATTTAATGTAAAAGGATGAGGAATACTATTACGATTAAACTTGTTAACCATTTCCTTTCATTAAAAACTTATCTAAATTTAACTTACAAATTCAAAATTTCTCATTCACATAATATTTCCAACCAGTCAATTAGTTAAAGTTTATAAAGTATCTTTGTGTTATTTACATTTTTCAGAAAATATCAAATTTCTCAAAGTTTAATCATCATTAATATGTGCTAAGATTATTTAACTTTTAATCAAGAAAACATTATCAAAATATCTATGTTAGATAATCTCCTGGCTTGAATTTATACAATGGCACAGTCAGGCATTCCTAGCCAAATAGTATGCCATTTGCTTACCATACCTCAAAATACAACGGCAATATTTAAGACTTTTCGACGTTTTGTTTACCTATAAAGATCACAGCAAATTGCAACGATTTCATTGGCTGCTAAGTCGGTCAGCATTTAATTGCCAGTTGTCATAGCTGAATCTGCGACAAAATAAAAGCCTAAATCAAGAAAGTAATTTGGATCTGTGTTTGAGCTTGTTTTGGCAACTTGCTTACTTTATTGAATTTTTAAAAATAGTTTTTGCCATAAGACCGATGGGTGGAATAAAAAGTCATAAAAATCATGGACTGAAATATGCATCCCATACCCAATTGATCAATATAATTCTTTTTTTCTAGTTAAAGGATAATCAGTAACTTGCTCTCCTCAATACACAGCTGTTTTGAAGGGGTGAAAAAATATCCTCATTCTCTACCTTATGGGCTGTCACTGAAAAGTAGTGCACGGAATTTGAAATGGGTTGCTGAGCGACTATGCCTACTCGCCATGTGGGGCCAGGCACCCAGGAAATATATTATAAGATTTTGCTTGCATTGTTTTCCTTTATGTCACAGAAAAAGAGATACATGTACATCCAACTTACTATATTAAGAATACTAAGGATATAAGTTGTTATATTATGTCGACCATGTCTCCACACCATTGTTTTATCTGCTACAACTAGAGTTTCTACAGTTTGTCTCAGATTAGTAGTAGAATACTGATGTTGATGAGATCTTAATTCACTTTTGTTGTCTGGTGTTGTTTGAGCATTTAAACTATCTACAAGTATATAAAACAAGCAGTTGCCATACATGATACATTCACAAGTGATGAACAGAGAAAAAACTAAAAATGCTATTTTTTGTACAATAAGGGGCCATAATCCAGGAAGTTACAGTCCGATATGGGTGAATATCAAAAGGAAAGAAATTTTTGCGATATAAACATATATTTTAAGTTTCTTCAAAATCAGATAAAAATTGTGACCTCAAGAGTGTCCACAGGCAAAAAACTTGATTTTTCGAACAATCAGTGGCCATAATCCATAAAGTTAATGTCCAACACATGAATATATCGAAAGGATCCCTAACACTGAATGAAGTTATCAGGAATCATTGAAAATCGGATTGACTCATTGAAACAAACTATAGCAAGAAATCTAAACACTGGAACTTTCGCCACTTATTTTAAAATCAAATTTACTAGTCTTATTGTTTTGATTAAGTCTATTTCATCCAGTATGATGACAGCAGAGAGAAACACAAGTACATGTACCTGTACTTGCAATCAGGCAGAAGATCTTTCATCATTGCACCCACTGCTCAAATTCACACAGGCCTTAATGGGGATCTTGATATTAATACATACTTACAATCTCTTTCACTTGTTTTTTGTTGACGGAATTCTTGATGAGGTAGATCTGTTTTTTTATATAAAATATGAGGTTGTTGGTTATCAGGGATATCATCATTTTGCGACTGGATGTCTAGGTGTTTAGGTAAAGGCTCAATCACATAGTCTTCTGTTGGTAATCTTAATACCCCAGTCTGGAAAATGTAGGATAAAAAGAAATTAAAAATCTTGGCACTATTGTAGCATTTTTTATGAAATTAATTTCTCTAATGGTTCCATTCATTAAACTTGCTTTAATTCTTGGAACCATTCTTGAAATGAAATCTAAATCCATTTCATCTTAATTACTTAAAGTAATATTAAATCTCCTCAATTGTTTTTCAGTAGTTTGTTGATACTGTTTTGTAATTTTTATTAAAGATAACATCATGTTACAAAATTTATTTAAAGATACATTATGGGAGATTTTTATAGAGAGTTGGCCATTCTTGCTATAACAGTTCAAAGGTAGATGATGAAAGAAGAATGTATTGAAAAATTCAGTCAAATTACTTTATTCTGAACATAGTTATCATCGTTGTAATATTTGCCTAGAAATGGTAGCAAAATGTGTCTTCACCTTCGCCGAAAGTTTGATTGACAGGCGTTAACTCCACCTACATATCTCGATTATCAAGTAAAGTTTTCAATGGCATACGGAAACGCTTTACAGCGGCCTCGCTAAGTACACTCTATCATTTAGCCTCGATCTAACTGACGTATTTTCATCAGGTTACCCCTTATTTGATTTAATCAATTAGTGAAATCCTATTTAAATCCGAGCTGTAGCCGAGCCATCCGTGGGTCTACAGAGTTGATTTTGGTCTTGTTGTTTAAATAAAGATCTAATTTATAATTTCTATAACATCTGAAGCCTAAATTAAGACTTGCAATAATCAGATTTAGCTCTTGCATAATGCATGTTTAAATGAAAGTAACTATCACCTGCAGGTAATTTCATCTCTCAAAAATGAACACTGTGTATTACCTAAAACTTTATTCTCTTGGGCATCAACAAGTGATCAAGGGCCATTGCTCCAGAAGTAAACACTGTGTATAAAATTCATGTCAATCCGATAATATCTTTAGCCTCTGATCAAGGGCCATAATTCTGACAGTAATTATCGGAAACACTGTCCATAAATTTCCATTCAATTCAAAACATCTACCGAATGAAAGACCAGCAGTGGGACCACACTTTATGACCACATTTCAATATGGGTGTAGAAAAATCTAACGAATTTGTACCCTAAAAGGATAAAAAGAACTGACCATCAAGTACATTATAGTACCGAATACCCTGGCATACTTATATCCATTCATTTACCATGGTTTTTAGATGCTGATTACCAAAGGTACCATCAATTTTAATTGGTTGTTTTATTTGGCCTCTCAAGGGGTTTTCATGACAGCATGCTATTATTAGACTTGTTCATGACCATATGCAGGACAGTAGCTAATTCAAATACTACAAATATCTTGTCAGACGGTTATTTTGATTATGTATGTACATGTAGGGCCTACAACCCTACTAATTACTTCCATTTAGAACAATTTGGTGGGGATTATCCGTTCAATATTCATGAGGTTTTTTTATACAGTTTTCATGATAACTACATCTAAATTTCATGACAATCTGATTAAAACACAGATCCTATTTCTTTTCGTTTTTTATACTTGTCTTACTACACTACTAGGATCTGGAAGAGTTGTTATATTACCGGCGCTCTGGTTGAAGTTGAAGTGAGGGATTAGCCAATGAAAAAGTCTGTTACGGCGAGTTCTTGGCGTGCGATGTGTGGAACTGTAAGTAAACCACTAGAAACGTCAATGCTGATATGATTAATCAATGTCTGAAGTCACAGTACAGCCGGTCAGATCTTCATGTAGTGTAGGCCATTGAAAGTATAAGAAAACGAAATGAAATATAGATCTGTATTTTAATCAGATTGATTTGATCAGGACAGTATGATCAACTAATTGAAAATATAGAGATAGTATTTTCGTCCAACTCATGTGTTTTAGGATTTCAGGTTGTGGTTTTTTATTGACACCATTTTGTGTATGTGTGCAGTGTATTTATATCTTATACACATCTATATGTTTATAGTCTAACTTTATCCTTTAATCCTATACTTATCATATCTATATATAGGTAAAAGCTTATCTAGAAGAGGTAGAGAGTATGGACAATACTTCATTCCTGAATAATGCCGTTCTGAAATGTGAAATCTGTCCTTCTCTAATTCTAATATGCAAGAATTAGATAAAGAGATGGCATAAAAAATAAAATCACTTTCTTCTGTGCCAAGTTATGAGTGTATGAAGTTTTGTCATTGTCTGTTATTTTTCAACTTGAGCATCGTTATCACTGCAATAGACGTCCACATTCCTGCTTTCATTGATATGGTACTTTTTAAAATGAAGATAATGAAATATGAAATAGCTGCAAGGACCGTAATATGACAAGAGGCAAAAAAGGCTAGGCGTTGGGTTTGTTTTGCCAAATTTAGAGACTAAATATTAACAAAAAAGTGGGTGTGGCACCACCCCAGAGGGTCGGGGCATGCACCAAAACAAATAGTTGCTGTCTTTACGGTATAAGGAATAAATGTGCAAATTTCCAAGATGATCCATTCAGAATTGCAGTCTGTAGATGATAAATACAAAATTCGGGCGTGGCTCCGCCCCAGGGGGTTGGATATGGAACAATATAAATGGGTACCACCCTGTTATTTAAATGATTGATATGCTGAATTTAAACAAAATCTGTTAATTATAGCAACCTGTAGAATATTTACAGATAAATACAAGAAATGGGTGTGGCTGTGCCCCTGGGGGTCAGGCATGCACCAAAAACAGATCATCCTTAAGATATAAGGAATAAGTATGTAAAGTTTCAAGATGATCAGTTAAGAATTGCGGCCTGTAGGCGAACCACAGACACACACACACCCACACACACACAGAGACAGGGGCGACGCAAAAAAGTCCACATTATGAATGTGGATGTATAAAAAAAAAACATCCAATAATGACAAATACTTTGCACTTTGAAACAGGCAATATTTAAATAAAAAAAATGATCAAAATCTAATGCGTAAAGAAAATCATTTGTATGAAAATATGAAGGACGATTGAAATTAGTTTCACATTCAACTTAATCAATATTTGGTAAATAAAAGTATCCCTAGTCTACTGAAGAATACATTATTTCAAATTAATAGTACCATATTAATCGTACATTAGTGTCCTGTAAGCCGAGATTTGACCTGATTGTGATATCTTAAAACCAGAGTTTATTACAGGCAGGATTATCATATCACTCTTCATTATAAGCTAGAATCATTAAAGTTGACTTTAAATATCCTAAGATGAAATGTACCTACTTATGTTCATTTACAAGAGAGTGTCAGGTCAATTTACTAAAGCTCTACATTCATTGTTGTGTAAATATTGACAAAACTTTCGCCAATCACATCTACAAATCATACATAAGGTCAAAAAGTCAACCTAATATTACGCTCATGTCAAATTATCTGCAAGGAATGAAATTATATTCCACAATCAAAATATTAAATTTTATAGGTTCATTCCCTCTTTGAATGGTTGTAGTAGACCAGAATTGTCTGTGTTGAGATTCCTCATTCTATTCTAGATAATCTCTATAAATGTATTCAATCTATATTTTCTTGTCTAGTCATTTGGATGGGATGGAAAAAATGAGGTGTCATGTAGACAATGGCATGCACGAAAATAAACCATAGACATTATCAGTTGGAATTCAAACAAGAATTGGCTGTAGTGGCACTGTCTAGGCAAAATTTCACTCATACCACCCTGCAAGGCATATGCCCGATTTCATTAACCCAATCAGTGCAGAACAGTAGGACATTAAACACCATTTCATTTCTGTTTTTGGGAATTTAAAGTGTCAGCATATAAAAAACAACCCCTTTTAAGCACATATTGCAGCACAATTTTGATGTGTAACATGAAAAGACCTGTTTAAAATTCAGGCAAAAAATAAGAGTGTCCCTTTAATACAATTTGATGAGCTGATTAGCTTGGTTAAGTAGATATCTTGAAAAAGTTAAAGCCAAAGATGAAATTAAAATTAGTAAGTAAACCAACTTAAATCACCTAGATATCATCACTAATTCAATTCACATCATATCAACTTTATTTTGATCTAAATCAAAGAGACTTAGCTCCTTAAACTTGGCTGTGATAAGCGTTCTTTTCTCGGAACCGTTCCAGGCCATGATAAATTTCAAGAAAATTACCCATTTACATTACTCTACAATAACCGGTCTCGAAACCGTTCCAGGTACCCTAAATGTGGAATTCTTCACAGAAAAGTTAATTTCAGTCAATAAGCAAACTACCCCAATGAAATCTATTATGGCGAGTGTTTAGTTA